CGTAAAGATTCTTTTCATCTGAAAGATGTTGGTACTCTTACATATTTCTTTTGCTTGGAAGTTCATAATAATTCTTTAGGTGTGTTTCTAAACCAACGCAAATATACTTAGGATCTGATTTTTTTGGCTGGCCTTCAAGATTCCTCCTTCGTAGATACATTATTGAAATTGAATGTGAAGTATCGTCATGAGGAAGGTGATCTTCTTCTTGATGCAACTATATTTAAACAATTAATTGGGATCCTAAATTACCTTACTTTTACTTTTCCTGATATCTCTTTCGTAGTTCAGTAAATCATCTGTTTCTGGAAGAAATCGAAGAATTTCTTGGGAATCCTACAAGATCCGTTCGTTCTTTTTTCTCTGATAGATGGTCAGAACTTCATCGGGGTTCGAATCCTACTGAGAGGTCCACTAGAGATCAGAAATTGTTGAAGATATGCAAGCTCCCCATCATATCTATTTGTTGGCAGTTCATCGCATCATTCAGTATCTTCTAGGAACATCTACTAATGGATGATTCTATCCTAATGGTTCTCCTATTCGTCTTAATGCCTTTAATGATTCTGATTGGACAGGATGTTCTGATATTTGTCATTCAGTTACTGGTTGGTGCATGTTTCTTGGAGAATATTGGATTTTTTTAATCTAATCCTACTCCTCTCGATGATAATAATACAAGTGTTATTCAGATTGTTACTAATCTGGTTTATCATAAGAGGACCAAACAAATAGAATTAAATTATTATTATATGCTAGAAGTTTTAGATAATGGAGTCATTACTCTTTGTTGGGTTTTAGGAAGGTGTGAATAGGAAATAAGAATGAATGAGAAATTGGGAAATGTGGGGGAACCAATTTGGAGGGAAAATGAAAAGTCATTTCAAAGGGAAAGTCTCTGAAAATAAAAAGTTATTTCTCCCATATTGGTAGAATAAAGGAAAAGTGTTGTCCTTATATTATGGAACACTTCCTTTAGTTGTTAAAGAGTTAAGTAGAAGGTTCCCCTCACGGTTTTGTCGTCGCCCGCATGGCTCGGCTTCGGCTTTGGCAAATGATGTGATTTATTGATAATTTTTTAGGCAAAATTTATTTAATCAATCTCATTAATTAATTTCCTTTTTCTTAAAATTAATTCAGAATGTTAATTAATTAATTTACTAAATTAATTTCGCATAACATAATTATTAGAAAATTCATGCATAATGTAAAGAGAGGTATTTCTCTCATTTTTTAACACGGAAAACTTTCTCTTTTTTGCATACATTTTCTTACAAATCAAATTGTCAATCGATTGAGTCTGTGTGCGCTCTCGTTGTTGTTCTTTGAGTTCACTGAAACTATTGAAGTTTGAGGTATTGTTACCTCTTTAATAGTTAATCCATTTTATTTTGGGAAGAATTAATCTACAACCTCGGGTACTTGAGGGGATTAAATTTCTTACTGTGGACTCGAATTATTTATTTTCTGTCTATTTCATTGTTTTTGTATTTGTTTTTTCTAACCTGAATAAAAGAGATAACACTCTTCCGCACGTATCCATTGATCTTTAGATAGCTAATTCATTTTTAAAATTCATGACAACGACATCAGTTTCTAGTTGGCAAATTGATCTTTCTTGATCCACCAACATCAATTTGAGGGGGGATGTTAGCATGATGAATAATAAAGAGTGATTTTATATATTAATGTATATAGTGTTGTAATTATAGAGATTTGTTGTAATAATCATAGAGGAAAATATTGTGATAAAATAGCAGATTTGGAGGGATAACATAGGATATTTAGATGGATTTGAATGGAAGATTTAGAGGGATTGAATAGCTAATCTTTTGGGATAGGACTAATGGATCATTGGGGATGTGTAATGTGTATACTCTCTATATAAAGGAAGGATTATCACTTTGAGAGACAATCAGCAAAATCTTGACAATTTCTCTCTATATTTTGTACTCTCATATTTATATAGTGGATTGCTCATCTCCTTTGTGAATGTAGGTCAGTTGACCAAACCACATTAAATCTTTGTTTCTTTTGATATACTTCTCGTTTTTCTTCTTACTCATAGTCATTTGAGGTTTGCTTTGCAAGCTTCCACATGACACCTGATAATTTGTTGTCATAACAAAGTGAAGGACATATTTATCCCTGAACAGACAAGGTTATCGTTGTTGGAAGGTGATCAAATATTCATTAACGCTGTTGAGAAGGAATTTTTTTTGAGAAAGGTAACATTTACTTCTATATATCCACATGTATACTACATCAAAGTGTAGTCTCCCTATAAAAAGTTATAGTTACATTGGTCCTATGATCTTCTAGTTACGGCCAGTCAATAGCATTATTAACATATTCAGAATTTCCTATAACTAATTGCTTACACCAAATATAGTAAAGACCTAGGTAATTTATCTTTATCTTCTCAATATTGTTGTTCTTTCATTTAAAACATCTCTGATTCCTTTCTTTCAAAATTATCCACCAAATGTATGGTGGGATAATCCTCCATCTCTTCTATTTTTTCCTGCATTTCCATCACTGTTCCAACATTTTAGAACTTCTGTGATTCTCCATTGTTTCATCCACTGAATCTTCCTCTTGTGAATGAATATCTGTCATAATTGATCTGTCCAATTGAAGTGTAAAAAGAGATGGTTGACTGTCTCCACCTGCTCTTCAAATACACAACATCTAGAGCAAAGGTTGTGTTTCCTCAAGTTTGCATGTGTCAAGACTTCCTCCTTTTACAAAAGTCGTATGAAATAATTCACCTTGTATGAAATTTTTGTTCTCCAGATCATCTTATAGGCCATCCTTCTTGTTGCACTTCAATAGGCCTCAGTTCTTGATATGCAGATCTTACAGTGAACTCTCCCTTTCTCTCCACTCTCCATATCCATCTATCATCCTTTTATGTTAGATTGGTATCCATATCCATTATGTCATGCAATCTTGCTATGAATTTTGTTTCCCAGTCATTTATGTTTCTTTCCAAACGTAAGTTCAACCCTTGTCCTGTCCATAAGTCTGGCATTGATGCTTCATGTGCTTGACTTGGATTATGTAGCTTAGTGAAATGATTGTTTGAGTGTCTCCTATCTGCACCATATGCCATTCCATAAGGCAACTTTTTATCTATTACCAACCTTAATGTTTTTTGTATCCTTGATCAGTAGCCTTAAATTCCTTATTGATCTCCATACACTACAATAATAAGGTTTGGTCACCACCTCTGTCATCTACTTGTCCTCCATGCCATATTTTGTTATGATTACCTCCTTTCATAGAAACACTTTTGGTGATGCAAATTTCCACAACCTTTCATCATCAAGTTATTATTTATGCGTACTCAAATCTGTAATGTTGAGGCCATCCCCTCTCTTCCTAACTAGAGGCTACTCCCATTTGACCAAACGATACGTCTTCTTATCTTCACTCATTTCCATAAAAAGTTCCTCGTAATTGCATCTAACATCTTGGCTACTTTGACTTGTATAGGGTATATTGACATCATGTATGATGGCAAGGCATCCAAGACACTATTAACTAGAGTTAGTCTACCACCTGAGGATAGATATTGACACTTCCAGTTCACAAGCTTCCTATCACATTTTTTAATTACACCACTCCATATTCTACTTTACTTACTCGTAGGCCCCAAAGGTATTCCCAAGTAGGTTGTTGGTAGTTCACCTACTTTCCCTCCTAGCTTGTAAGATAAGTCCTTAATATTTGGTACTATGTTACTGGATACATGAAACTCTTGTTCCAGTTTATGCACAAACCTGACACAACTTAAATAATATTTAAAATAACTCTAAAAATCAATGTTTTCTCCTTTAAAACTTTACAAAATACTAGAGTGTCATATGCGTAATATATGAGTTATCTCTTGAATGTATATTGTATTCTCCCCCACTTAGTAACCTCTGATCCAACCATTTTCTCTTGAAGTCTGGAGTAGATTACTCAACCCCTCCGTAGCCAAAATAAAAAGAAAATGAGAGGGGTCCCCTTGTCTCAGACCCTTATTTGATGGGAAAACCCACCTGGGTTTTTGTTGATTATAATAGAGAACTTCACTGAGCTTATGTACTGTCTGATCCACTTTCACCATCTTTGACCAAAACCCATCCTTGTCATCATCTTAATAAAAAATTTCTAATTCAGGTGATCATATGCCTTGTGGATAATCAGCTTGAATAGGATCCCTGGTTGGTTATCCCTATTCTTGGAATCAACACATTCATTGGGTATCAGCACTGCATCCATTATCTTCCTGCTCTTGATAAAATCATTTTTTGCATGCTCACAAGATTATGCATCACCTTCTTTAGTCTTTCAGCCAAAAACTTTGCAATTATCTTGTATACTCCCCCACTAAACTTATTGGTCTAAAATCAATTAGTTCTTCTGCCCATATCTTCTTGGTTATCAAAGTCACAAAAAATAGCATTTATACTCTTTTATAACACTCTTTTCACATAGAAGCTTTGAAATGTTGTAACCATTTATGTTGTGATGATATCCCAACACTAACTAAAGAAAGCCATAGAGAAGCTATTTGAGCCAGGGGCTTTGTCCCCATCAAATATTGTGATGCTTTCTAATATTTATGGAGCTTCAAAAGGGGTCATCAGTTGGTTGTTTTCATTTTCATAAATCAAAAGGACACTCCCTCATTTCCAACTCTAGCCTCCAATCCTGAGTTTCAGAATATAGATTCCCATAGTACTCAGTGATTTCTCTTTGTATTTCAGCATGTTCAGTCACTAAGTCCTACCTCACTTTGATTTTGTCAATAGTGTTGACTCTTTTGTGTGAATTTACTATCTTGTGAAAGAGACTTATATTATTGTCCCCCTATCTAAGACAAACTACCCCAGATCTCTGTCTCCATGTTGTTTCTTCATTTTTTGACTATTTTTTCCAACTCAGTGCTAAGATATAATCTGGAAACTATCACTCCTTCCTCCAAAATTGTTTGATCATATATTATTTCAAGTTCTGCTAATTGGCTGAGCACAAGTTGCTTTTGTTATTACAGATATCTTTGACTGGTTTTGCTCCACTCTTTCGACTTTCATTTCAATACCCTCAGCTTTGCTACCAGTACAAAGTTTGGTATTCCCTGGAAACAAAAAGACCCCACCAACCTTTAACTCTGTCATTGAAGCCTTTTGTAGTCAGCCACAAATTTTCAAACTTGAAATATGATTTGGTTAACCCATTTTATCCACATTGTAGCATCAATAGGGAATGATCTAAGACAATTCTCTACAGAATAGACTGCTTGATATTCCTGAATCTTGTGTCCCAATCATTAAAGACCATTAACTTGTCTAGTCTTAATAAAGTGGAATGTTTGTAACCTTTGCTTCCATGTGAACTCTCCCCCTACTATGTCTAAGTCCATTAATTCCATGTCTTCAATAAACTGTGAAAGATCTGTCATTGACTTGCTGATTCTACTACAACTGAACTTCTCAGTAGGATATCTTACTCTATTGAAATCCCCATATCAGACCCAAGGACTTGTGAATGGACATCTAGTTGTCCCCAATTCCCACCAAGTTTCTTCCCTTTCAACTCTGTCATCTGGGGCGGAGACTCCCGTTAGGTGCCATTTAAAACCCTAATTTTTTAATATAGAAACAACATGAAACTCAGTACGCTCCCACAAAACTAACTTCCCCTTCCATGTGAACTCTCCCCCTACTATGTCTAAGTCCATTAATTCCATGTCTTCAATAAACTGTGAAAGATCTGTGATTGACTTGCTGATTCTACTGCAGCTGAACTTCTCGGTAGGATATCTTACTCTATTGAAATCCCCATATCAGACCCAAGGACTTGTGAATAGACATCTAGTTGTCCCCAATTCCCACCAAGTTTCTTCCCTTTCAACTCTGTCATCTAGGGCGGAGACTCCCATTAGGTGCCATTTAAAACCCTGATTTTTTTATATAGAAACAACATGGAACTCAGTACGCTCTCACAAAACTTACTTCCCCTTCCCATATTCTTTTATCTCACATAATTAGTATGCCTCCCCTAGTCCCACTAACTTCTAGTTGCACAAAATATGATCATCTACTACCCTAAATTTCCTTAACTATGTTTGCAATTTCCTCCACCAATTTTGTCTTTTGAAAACACACAACATCTGCTTTCCGGATTCTTAGCATGTTCCTGATCATACTTGTAACACTTCAGATTTGAGAAAATAGAACAATGCAACTTTCCAGGACCTGGTGCAAGAACCACGGAAGCCACTGACGGTCCATGGTCTGTATATGGGGTCCGTCATTAGGCACCAAATGTTAATGGTCTTTGACCCCACCCACAGTTGACCAGGACGGTCTATGGCTGGACCTACGGACCGTAGTTCTAACCGTAGGTGAGGGTCAGTAGCCAATTGAAGGGAAATGGTTGTTGGGCCAACTTCAAACAGCCATATGTTTTAGCACAAGATGAAATAGGTAGCATATGACTTATAAAATGAAAGATAATTGAGTCCTCTTTCCAATGCCACCAAATTTGCTAAAATTCCATCTCGGAGTTAAAAGTTATGCTCGGTTTAGTGAAGCCCTGTCGGGCAGGGCTTGAGCGACGACCCCTACTGACGGTCGGTATGTCAAACGACGGTCCGTCAATCCTATAGTCGGTGGTACTCGTCAGATTCAAGTCAGGGGCATTTTTGTCCTTTCCCGTATGTGTTGGGCACTTAAAATACATTGTTGGATGCCTAAAATACGTCGTTTTACTCGGTTTAAGCCTAATAACTTAGTCGGGCATACCCAGAACCTTTATTCACAAAAAATCATCCAAACTTAGAGAAAAAAAGAGAAGAAAGAGGCACAAGTTTCCCAAGAACAACCAGAAGGTTTGCTTCAAGTTTCAGCCCTGAAATCGAAGGATTTCTCCGTTAGATTTCGTCACCAGGTATGTGGGATTTCACTATGGGTTCCTTTCATCCACTAGGTCCCTAAAATTCAGTGAGTTCCTTAATTTTACATAGCTTGTTTAGACCTAGGATTTGTAAAATCTTTGGAAATTATTATGATTTCAGCTGTTATATACTCCATAATCTCAATATTTGTTTTCTTGAAAACTTTGCTTAATTCCTTCTATGAAACTTAGAACCTTAGTTTGTATAAATTCTTTTAGTTCATGAATTATACTTTCTAGGTTAACTAAACAGATAGTCATGCTCCAGATTTCGAATGTCATATTATCAGTACATAAATGTTTCATTCTCTGATTGCATGTCAGTATTTTGAGCTATTCAGTATTTTAGTTACATTTGCGTTACTTACATATTCAATTGGGAGTAAACTTATTATTGAGTTGGACTAGGGTTCAGTGTACCCCTATAGTCCTAGAACTACCTGCCCCCGTATGAGTTTAAGTCCCCTTTGTTGGGCATCAGATTTAGTGATCACGCCAGTCATGCCTTTATACCCCTAGCAAGGTATATTGGGTCCTCTCGATGGGCGTATACATCGAACTCCACGTTTAGCTCACGTGATTTATGTCAGTTAATAGTAGCTCCCACAGTCAGACTCTTAACGCATTTGACCAGGTTTTCAGTTTAGCATGTCATGTTCATGATTAGTACTTGGTCATTGCATTCAATTTAGCTCTCGGTTATCTCTTCAGTACTTACATTCTTGCTCAGTTTACAGTATTGCTCAGTGATATTTTGTTCAGCTTTTACATAAATTTATTCAGCTTAGTATTTATATCATGCATTCTTAGTACTATCTAAGTACTGACGCATAATCTGCACTACATCTTTTCATTATTTAGGTTTAGTACTGAACATTTAGACCGTGCTTAGATCGATTCTCGGTCAGCATTCAGTAGCTTCAGTGGTGAGTCCTCCTATTCCGAAGAGAATAGACATGTTTTCATTTTAGTTTCAGTTTTGTTAGAGTTAGCTTGGGAGCATGTCCCAGTAACTCAGCTCAGTTAGAGGCTTTTCAGACATAGTAGTAGAATCAGCTTGGTTTGTTGAGTTTATATTTCTTCCATCACTAAACTCTTAGTTTGTTTTATATATTCATATTAATTGGTTCGCTCCCCAATTCAGATAGCTACTATTTTAGCTTCTTCATAGTTCATTTTTATTTAGTTATCTTTCAGTAGGTTTATGATATGCAAGACACGGGGTTAGCTTGGGGTCACTCGAGATCCTAGGTCCCGTGTTTTGTCAAGGGGTAGCCTCGGAGCGTGACAAACTTGGTATGAGAGCCTTAGATTTAAAATTCCTAGGATGTCTAAAAGTCATACTATGTAGAGTCTCTTTCATGGGTGTGAAGTGCACCACATCTATAAGGGGGAGGCAACGAAGTGTTTTCTCAAAAACTTCACTTTCTTTGTTATTCTTATCGTGCGTGGTATGATCCCCTTTCTAATTCATCGTTATGCATTTCAGATCATGCATACTCATTGAGCTAACACACGGAATCCTAATGCACGCAATGCTAATGCAGTTCCTCGAGTCCCAAATCATGGGGTTACAAATGCAAAATTTTGGAGTGCGATCCTGCTTTTTGCTTAGAGTGTGGCCAATTAGAATAATCAGTAGGCCACAGTTCCTACTAACACTAATGGTGGTTAAGCTGCAGCTAGGGTTCGAGATTTTTTTCGGATGAATCCGCCTTAGTTTCTAGTGTAGAAGGTTGGTGAGGACCCACAGAACTTCATTGATGAGGTTAAGAAAAATTTTGGAGTAATGCAAGGGACTAGAACTGACAGTATTGTGTTGGCATCCTACCAACTTAAGGATGAGGCTCATATCTGGTTCACTCAGTGGAAAGAAAACAGGGGTGCAGATGCAACTCCTGTGACTTGGGATTATTTTACAGGAGCTTTCCTACAGAGATAAGGGACAAGAGTTTATGAACTTGAAGCAGGGTTCTATGTTGGTCCAAGAGTACAAGATGAAGTTTACCCAACTCTCTAGGTATGCTCCAGAAATGGTTGTCGATTCAAGGGCACAATTGAGTAAGTTCTTTTTTGGGGTATCGGATTTGGTGAAGACCGAGTGCTAGAATTTTATGCTTCTAGGGGATATGGATATCTTTAGACTAATGACTCTTGCTCAGCAAGTTGAGGGAGATAACTTTAGGGAATTGGCTAAGGATAACAAAAATGCCAGAACAGCAAACTGTGAATACATACAACAAAAGTCGAACAGTGGGAATCTCTCATAGTTTCAGTGGAGGTCTATAGTCCCAGCACTTTCATCAGCTAGTAGTCCATCTAAAAAATCAGAAAGTAAGGCATCAAGCTCTAAATATCATGGGAGTGCTTCAGGTAACATGACTTACCCAACTTGTCCAAAGTGTGGTAAGAACCATCCTAGCAAGTGTCTTGCAGGCAAGGAAGGGTTCTTTGGGCGTGGTCAGTTTGTCCATATATTGAAGGATTTCCCTTCTGCAAGGCAGAGGCAAGGAGGTAACAACAATAGGGTTTAGTTTACGACCCTAGCAGCACCAGCATGTCAGCCAACTCAGCAGGGTACTTCATCTGTGAAACGACCCCAAAAATGCCCGAAAATGTGCTTCGAAAACACCTAAAATTGTTATTTCCATATATCTCAAAATTCGTGCATCATTTCGGAAATTCGACTTCATATTCTTATTCAGGGGGTCAAATTGAGTGGGAAATGAGTCTAACCCGAATTTTAGAACAACCGTATCAAAATTCGAAAATCGCAAAAAATGCGATTTTGAGGGTCAACTTTAAAGGGGCATATCTCTCAGAACACAAGGAACTGGAAGGAGCTCAAACTATCAAAATTAAAGCTCTGTGAGTTAGCTTTCCAACGCAATTTGTTTCACCTCATTCCGAGTTAGGATGAAGGAGTTATGACCATTTTCGTAAAACCTGTCCGACAGAAAATGCAAATTCCAGTAGCCGAAAACACTGTTCACCCGCCTCAATTTTTTTTCTAAGTGTTGGGACGTTTTTATAAAAAGGGGACATATCCATACTTAGTCATTTAACTTCAAAACATCCAAAAACTCTCTCTAAACCCTCTCCAAAAATTCCACCAAGATCATCAACCAAATTCAAGGATCCCAAGCTTTAATTCCGGATTCAAGATTCAATCTCAAGCAATTCTCCATTCCAATCTTCATCAAGAATTCTCCAAAGTTGAGGTATGTGGGTTGATTGTGGAAACCTTCCTTTCCACAAGTCCAACCATTTATCCTCTATTTTACTTCAAGTTTATGGGTCCTTATGATCATTTATGAACTCTTGAATTATGGAATTATTACTACACATCCTATTATGGTCTATTTTTGTATATTATCATGAAATGGAATGATTATATGATGTTTATGGTTTTCATGCCTCAATGATCAAATTATGAAGGTTGTTATATATGTATATATATATGTATGTTGTTGGTGGGCTGTTTTATATGGATTTTGAAATTGGTTGGACTTAGTACTCTTGAAACACATGATTTTATTTACATGAACAAGTAGCCCACCATATGTTTGATAAAATGTCATTTATAGAATTCTTATGAAATGGAAGGTCCAATGTACGTCCTATGAGTCGGATGATTATATAAGTATTGAAATGATGATGAAATGGATACATGTATATGATTTTCTCTATATAGTGTGTGAGTCGATCAAGCCTAGCTCGGGGGGTTGTAGGCCCGGGTAACCGTATCAAGGGGTTGGTACCTTGATTGCCTAGTACGGGGGGTAGTAAGCCCGTATAACCGTATCGAGGGGTTTGTACCTTGGTTGCCTAGTACGGGGGGTAGTAGGCCCGTATAACCGTATCGAGGGGTTTGTACCTTGGTTGCCTAGTACGGGGGGTAGTAGGCCCGTATAACCATATTGAGGGGTTTGTACCTCTTTCGCCTCTCCAAGGGGGTGGTAGGCCTTGGAAATACTATATTGATGGTCACTCACTACACATATACTATGTCCTACTAAATATGATTTTTATATAAGCATCATTATACATATCATCTCATTAATATGCTATCTATCGGGTACGATTATGCATTTTTCCTATGATGTCCATCTATTGTAGCATTGCATTGCATCCCACATACTTAGTACATTCAAACGTACTAACGCATACTCTATGCCTACATGATGTGACCATGTAGGGACCGGAGCACCGCTTGACCATCCTCCTCCGCGTGGCTAATACGATTTCCTATCAAGGTTATTGGTGAGTCCTCCATTCCGGGGACGTTGCTCATGATCTTTTGCTATGTATAAGACTTTTCTTTTTAGTTATGTTTTGACTATGAGGGTGAGCCCGGTAGTTTGTCTTGGCCCCCGCTAAGTACTCATGTTTAGAGGTGGTGTTGGACAAGTTGTGTATTATGCTTGAGCTTGACTCATCTATGGTATTTATGTACCATTTCTTTTTTTTTCTTGCTCCCTTAGTCCCGATTTCCCCCTTGATTATGCTTATCGCTTATGGTCATTTTAATTGCTTCCGCGACCAATGATGTGTAAGATACGCTATGAGGCTTGTTTGGGGTTCCTTCGGGTTCCCCATTCGCCGGTCACGTCTAGGCCCTAGGCTTGGGTCGTGACAATCTGGTACAGGTGGCGGTCAGCCACAGAACAGGTTGTATGCTCTCGAGGCTCTCTAGGACCAGGAAGATTCTCCTGATCTAGTCACTGGTATGTTACGAGTCTTTCATTGAGATGTTTATCCATTGTTAGATCTAGGGGCTACACTGAAACTTGACTACACGAGTTCTACAATCAATAGAAGCATAACATGAGTGCTGCCAATCCATAACCAAGATAACATCAAAATCTAGCATATAAAGCTCTTCCAAGTCAACAAGAGTAACTCTATGGGATAAGGAAAGGGGACATTTTCTATAGACCCTCTTAGCCACAATAGAATCACCAACAGGAGTAGTGACCAAAAAAGATTCTAACAACACATCCGGAAGAACATCAAACCTCATAGCCACATATGGTGTCACAAAAGACAAGGTAGCACCAGGATAAAGTAAAGAATAAACATCGAGTTGGAAAACATATAACATGCCAGTAACCACATCGGGAGAACCCTGTTGTTCACCATGAGTCTGAAGTTCATAAAAGTGGTTTTGCTTAGGAGCATTGGGACCTGAAGCACTAGGAGTAGCTTGCTTTCCCTCTCTTCCTTTAGACACAAGCATTGGGATTTCCCTCATTTTGTGACCACTCCTACCACAACTAAAGTAACCATCTGTGTGAGCTATGCACTTACCCTCATGCTTCCTTCCACAGTTACTACAAGTAGTCATGGGAAATGAAGACCCACTACCACTATCTCCTTGAAGCTTTGGGTTAGACACCCTATCGTTGTTGAACTTAGGAGAAGCATTGGAGGAACCATGACGGGAATTGTCGAAATCTAGGACGTCCAGGTCTATCGAACCTTGCATGAAAGAAATTACCATAGAACGTCTTAGACCTTCTTACTTCTCTAGAATTTTCCTTAAGTTTATCCTTCTCAATTTGTTGTGCATGAAGCATGAGACGAGAGATGTCCATGTCGTTTATGAGCATGGCAGCTCGGCACTCTTTTACCACCATTTCAGACATACCCGAAACAAACTTACTCATCCTTTCCCTTGAATCGACAGCCATTGTTGGAGCATACTTAGACAATTGTGTGAACTTTAGAGCACAATCTGTCACACTCATACTCCATTTTTGAAGGTTAATGAACTCAAGCACCTTGGCTTCCCTCATCTCAAGGGGAAAGAACCTATCAAGAAAAGTAGCCTGAAACTTCTCCCAATCTAGAGGAACCGCATCTTTTGGTGTCCCTTCTTTCCACTGGTTGTACCAAATTTGAGCCACACCATTAAGTTGATAGGCGACCAACTCTGCCTTTTAGACCGGCGTGACTCCCATGATCATCAAAAACTTATAGACCTCATCAATAAACTCTGGAGAATCTTCGTAGTGAAGTCCCTTACTCTAGAAGCCGCCGTACTCATATTTGGGTTCACGGGAACCGCAACAACCCTATATGCTTTGGCTGTCACGGTATGATCCAACACTTGAAAAGCAGCCCTAAACTCTGTATTAGTCACTTGCTTGGCCAAATGATCGATGATGAGTCCACGATTTAGACTAATTTAGGGCTTTATTTGGATAGATTTAATGCACTCAAATGCTTATTTTGTGCTAATGATTGATGTAAAATCATTGTTTTCCAAGTATTTGGATTTAGGAACAAAGCATGGACACTAGCAAACAAAAAGAAACAAGGCAGCTAAAAGAACGAAGAAATGAAGGCCCGTTGATCGCCTAATCCATTGGGCGAATCACCGAGTGGCTATTACCTCGCCTAAAGTTCCAGTGTGCCAAGCCTTAAAGGAGAAATCAAGTCGGCGAGTGAAAGGAGCAGTCAGCGAGTCGCCGAATGGTTCCACGATGCAGTTATTGGATCACCTAAAGTTACAGAACTTAAAGATGCTGAAGGCCAAAGCAAAAAAGTGATGAAACTGAACAAGGGCGGTTCACCAAATTGATCAGCGATCCTGAATTATTGCGCCGAATGGTCCTTCACAGCATAGTTTTGGCAACTATAAATACATTTTCAATCATTATGTTTAGTATCAAATTTTATTCTGAAAATTCAATAAAGTAATTTTTGAGTTTGAACTAAGAGTATTAAGACAATATTTTTCTTAGCTTTGAACAATTGAAGATTTCTATTTTTGAGAAATATGAATTGGGTCTTTAAGATTCTTCAACTTGGACCTTTGTAAAGACGAATTTAATCGTACCTAGTTGATGGAAACACAATTTGGTAACGATTTCTATCTTTTAATGAACTCTACCTAAAACCCCAATTCTTGGGGTGTGATTATGTGATTATGGGTTGAATTAGCTTATGGATATTGCTAATTGATAGTTTAAATGTTGTTTAAAAGTGATTTCAATTAGTAATTGTGGTTTAATTTAAAGGGTTGTAATTGCAAATATAACTCTACCTTCATGTTTTTGGCTTGATCAGGAGAGAGTTTTTAAACCAAGATTACTGAATTGATGGTCTGTGGGTATTAGGTTGTCATGGGTTCAGCTTGAGAGAGTGAATCCTAAACCTTTTTCCACACATTCAACTCGAGAGAGTGAATGGACTAAAGTGTAGGATGTTCTTAATTATTGCTTGTTGGTGTTCGACAGGAACTAACTTGATTCAAAGTAAATTGTTTGAGAGAAAGTTTATCCCCACTAATGTCTAGCTTCTTCACTGATTTGTAGTTGTTTACTATTAATTGCAATTACTCGATTCTTTACCTTTGGCCCATTATCCAATCACATCCAAAGAATGCCGTCTCTTTACTTGTTAATTAGTGTTATTTGCTGCTGTTGTAGTTGATAATTACAATAATAAACCCCTGTTATTTGACACTTGTGGCACCAATTAATTTGAAGTATGTTTTTCTTTCTAAATATCTATTCCTATGATTCACTTGAACATATTCGTGCTTTGCTCTTGATTCTCAAACACATACCACTCCCTGTGGATTTGACCCCAACTCATTTACTTGGGTTATATGCTAACTAACGATCGTTGACTCTTAGAACTTGATTAAGTGTCTTTAATAGCGTTATTCAATCAAAATGGTGCCGCTGCCGAGGAGTGGTGTTGGTTGAGAATCTTTAGTTAAGTTGAATTTTGTTCTTGTTAGTCATAGTTAAACTTACTTAATTTTAGTTTTGTTTTGCTTGTTTGTGTTTTGACATAGGAAGTATGAGTGTGAACGGCAGCAATGATTGCCAAGTAGGCCACCAAGATGACATCGGAAACCTCAACAATGTCATAGAGCCTAATGCTGATGACCCCCATCTTATGGGTGGAATTTGTTCCATTCCCTTGCCTCCGGTTGAAGGGAATGCGGTGTTCCATATCACAAGTACTATGTTGTAGCTCTTGCAATTGAAGGGGCTATTCGGTGGTTGGCTCATGGGGATCCCTATGAGCATATTAGAAATTTTATGGATGCTTGCGGGCCATTCTCCTTCAAGAATATATCCCAAGAGTCTGTCGGTTGAGGTTGTTCCCATCATCTTTGATGGGAGAAGAATGCAAGTGGTTGGTTGAATGGCCACGTGAATCAATCACTTCATGGAAGGAGTTGGTCACCTCATTTCAAGTGCGTTTTTTCCCTCCTTCGAAGATGATGACTCTTCGGGACAACATTCAAAGCTTCAAGCGTCTAGAGGGTGAGTCAATTCATGAAACTTGGCTGCGATTCAAGAAGTTAGTGCTCCAATGCCCAACTCATGGCTTGCCTGACAACGTGTTGTTGCAGTATTTTTACCGAAGTCTTGATTCAGTAAACAAGGGTGTTGCAGACCAACTTACTCCTGGAGGTTTGATGTAGTAACCTTATGTGATAGTAGTTTAGCTCTTATATGACATGACTACAATCAATCAGGATTTGTACACCCGTGAAGATCAGGTTTGCCCGCTCACTTTTAAATTGACCAAAGAGCAGATGGAAAGAGACAATGAGAGGGACCAAAACATGGCCAACATCATGACAAAACATGACATTTTTTCTTAAAATGTCATGGGAGCTAGTGTTCGAAGTGTCAATGTCTTGGGTGTCGGGTGTGTTAATCCTGATGTGGCCAGGTTTGAGGTTTTGTACAACGAACAGGTAAATTTTCTAGCCAACCAAGGTGGTGGTTATCGTTCAAACTACCCGTGGCAGGGTGGTAACCAAGTTTGGAATGTGGATGAAGGTTGGAAAGATCGTGATAAATAATGGAGGGTTCGAAATCCCAATTGGAAGGATAGGGAAAATGATAGGTATGTGCCTCTCCACGAGCACCAAGAGCCAAAGGATTTTGAAGGTGGTCTGTCAGAGGATATGCTTTTGCGTATCCCTAACAAAGTTGAAGGGTTAGACAAGATTTTGAAGGAAATGAAAGATGATGTGTCGACCCTCAGCCAGACGGTTACCTCCTATTCAGTATCGATCAAACAGTTGGAGACCCAAATGGGTCATATCTCATCTGACTTAAACCCGAGACAACAAAGGGGGGGGGGGGGGAACACCTAGTGATACTATGGCCAACCCCAAAAATAAGGTTTGAGTGTGGACTTGCATCGTGCCATGACGTTAACTAAGGCGCTGTTTGGGAGGCAACCCAAGGCTTTATCACTTATTTTAGGAAATAATTGTGTGTTGATTTTGTAGGTTGAAGTGTGTGAAAAGTGCAGGTTGGCGAGCGAAAAGTCCGGTCAGCGAATCACCGAAGTGGTTGGCGTGCCCGACTTGAACCACCGTTTGACTCAAGAAACCCTAGAGGTTGAGTCTGTTAAACTCAGTGAGACCAGGAGCTGATTGGCGAATCGCCGACCAGGTAAGCAATCGCGACTTAGACCATTGTTTGGACTTCCACATTTACTAGAGGTCTTGTAAGACTCGGTGATGTAGGTTCCCACTCGGCGTGTCGTCGAGTGGGTCAGCAAGCAAGACTAATGTTGCCAAATGGGCGAGAACTGGACGGTTTTAAATAGGCCAAAGGTTTAAACCTTCAAACTCTTTCACTTTCTCTCACTTTCAAACTTCCCAAACTCATACTCGCATTATAGTTTCCATATTTTTATGTTTTTACTATATTTGAGTCATTGATTGTGTGCTAGGAGTTGTATGTATGCCGCCTAGCTTTTCAAATCTTGATTATTCAGCATCTAAGGTTGGTTTTCCAAACCCCGAACTCATTTTTAGAAACTTTTACTCATTTACAAATGATTTTTATCCTAGTGATGTGTTCTGGAGCCTCTCTGATTATAATTGTGTGTGTGCCTTTGTTAATTTGGACATCGTGCCTATTAAGCTTGTATTGTTGAATTCCCGAGGTTTTTGTGCTTTAAAATTGATGGAAATTTTGGGGTAGTTCTTGCATGTTGTTGGGTCTTGTCGGGTGAAGTCTAAGTAGCCAGTATTTGTGCCAAAGGATGCAATTTGCCTAATGATGCAGCGGTTGACGTCATTCTTTAGGGGAAAAGTTGTCAAATGGCCAAATTTGGTCAAACCGGGAGAAGTCGTAGTATCTCAGGGGAATGGGTGTAATGGGTCTTAGTTTAATTATGGAAGTGCATGTTTTTGAATTTATTTTAGGGGCTGCGGGGTTGAAATTTGGAAGTTGGGTGGACAGTAGGCACGTTGGGTCATTTGGCGAGCTAGGTCGAGCTCGCCGAACCACTCGGCGGTTCACCCAAGCTCCCCTTAACGCCTCTAATTTGTTGCTTAATCTTGAAAAAGGTTCTGTAACTTTCGGTGAGAAGCCTGAGTTCACCGAGTGTACTCAATGACTCACAGAATGTCTTCTCTGTTCGCCCTTTGTCTGAACCCCTGACCCTTAATTGCACTGTAACTTTCAGCGGGCTAAGCCATGATCACCAAAATGTATAGATGATTAGCCGAAAGGCCTTTCCCATCACCAACAGGCCACTTGTCTGAGAACATTTTGAGCCAATCCTTTGGGCGACCCCGATCTGGCTCACCAAAATGATTCGGCGACTCGCCAACCCGTTGGGCGAGTCTGTCTGCAACTTATTTTCTTTGATTTCACTTGAAATGTTTCTAACTCGTTTTGATGTTTTTGCAGACATT